ATCCAACCGAAATGAAGGTCCCAATGCGGAGGACCGGGAGTAGCTGGATGACCGACTGCCAGAACTGGGAGCCGCCAGATCTCTGATAGAAGGCAAGGTGTTGCCCATGCAGGTATTTGTTCCGGATGATGTCTAACCAGAGGCCACCTTGACCTTGCGAAATGCGCCAAAGCCAGCGGGATAAGAGGGCGATGTTCATGCGCTTAGAGCACATGATCCCGAGGCCCCCTTGATCCCGAGGCTTGCAGATGTCTGGCCAGCTAACCATATGGTATTTTTGCTTATTGTTGTCGCACACCCAGTAGAAGCGGGACTGGACTTTGGCGATCTCATGATGCAATGTCTCATGAAGGCTATAGAAGCTCATGAGGAACAAGAGGAGACTGGATAGGGAGGAGTTGATGAGAATCGTCCGTGTCGCCTTCAACATCCACCTACCCTGCCAAGGCTCAATGCGTGTTTGCAGCTTGGCCACAGTCGGACGCAAGTCAACAACGGTAAGCCTAGAGTCACTAATGGGTGTTCCCAAGTATGTCGTGGGGAAGGAGCCCAGACAGCAGTTAAGTCGGTTGGCAATGTCTAAGCATTCCACCGGAGAGTAGCCCATCACCATTATATCACTCTTGTCAAAAGTTGATCTTGAGGCCAGACATTTGTTGGAAGCTGAGGAGGAGGAACTTGAGATTAGAGATGTCCGTCTTCGAGCTCTCCACCATGATGATGGTGTCATCGGCGTACTTGAGAAGGGAAATCCCGGGACTGCCAGCCAGGTGGGGGGTGATCCCACGAATATGGCCCCCCGCCTTTGCCTTATCTAGGATAGTGGTAAGAGCGTCCACCACCATGTTGAACAAGAATGGGGAGAAAGGGTCACCTTGTCTAACCCCACAAAGGGATTTCCCCATTGATGTTCATGGCGGTGCGACCGCGGGACACCATCTGCATCACATGGGTGATCCAGCAGTCGTCGAAGCCCTTCCAGAGCAAAACTTCCCAAAGGAAGGGCCAGCTGACGGTGTCATAGCCTTATGAAAATCGATCTTCAGGAAGACCGCCTTGAGGTGCTTAGACTAAACCTCATGGAGAACTTCATGAAGGACTAGCACCCCATCCAGGATATACCGCCCTTGAATGAAGACGAACTGGTTGGGGTGGGTAATGCGGTCTGCAAGCAGGGTCACCCTATTGGCGTACCCCTTTGCCAGAATCCAGAAAATCACATTGATCACCGTGATTGGCCGGAACTGGCGGATGTCGGAGGCCCCAGGCACTTTAGGGATGAGCGAAATGATCCCATAGTTGAGGCGACCAAGGTCTATGGACCCAACGTAGAACTCGTCGAAGATGGTCATGATCTCAGGTTTAATCACATTCCAGAAGGTCTGGAAGAATTTAACCCGGAGGCCGTCAGGACCCGGGGCCGAGGTAGGGTTCATGCCTCTAATGGCATCCCAAACCTTGCCCTCGGAGAAGGGGGTCGTAAGGGCCGCGTTCTCTGCAGCGGAAACTAGCTGGGGGCCAACCCAGCAGTCATGAGCCAGAGATAAGTCGCTCCTAGGAGCGGAGGAGAAAAGGTTCTTATAGAACCCGTCGACGTGGGCCCGAATGTCACAAGGGGACTGCAAAAGGTTCATGTATTGTTTTGACCCGATTTGTCTTGTTTGCTGAGAGCTACCCAGCTGTCCAAATGAGCTAATATTTGGAGCGAGCCTCACGCAATAAATTGTCTACCATGGGGAAAAAATGGAATTTTTTTTTTGAATTTTTCTAGTTTTTATTTTGAATGTTTTTCTGATCGGATGCAGATGAGCCTGGGCACCGAATCGCTGCACTCACTTCTATAGAACTAGGTTAGTTTGGCAAGAGGATGAAGACAAGAAAAAAATACCATCTAGTCAATTGGAGGGAATGTTGCCTCCCGAAGGATTATGGTGGGTTGGGAATCTTAAATCTAGATATGATGAATAAGGCTTTGCTGGTAAAATGGTTCTGGAAGATGGAAAAAGAGGATGGGCTATGACAACAAATCATTTTCAGTAAATACATACCTGATGGGTGTGTCTCCAGGATTAAGAAGAAACAAGGCGACTCTCAGTTCTAGTCTAGCCTGATGAAAGTTAAAGATATCTTTTATAGATTTTCTCGAAAAGGGGGGACTCCCCGGCCTCTGCATCAGAACGATGCATACGGCCACTTAAATAAATAAAATAGGTTCAACAATGTCATAGAGTCTTGAAACAAAATAAATGCGAGCTCACATAGAGCCTCGACGCCAAAACAAGAAAAGGTCATAAAGCCACAACCGGCTGGCAAAATAAAGATAGGAAAACTAATTGCCTATCCTATTACATGACCGTCATCCAAACCGGTTGAAGATATCCTGCGCTACCATCTCCCACCGGACAGATCCAGTAACCAAACGCTCCCTGGCCTCCGTCGGAGTGAGTAAGGACCACATACGGATCAGCGCCGTAGCACGGAATACAACCTGCAAAAAATGAATAGTAGTTAATCTGTTAAAAGCCAAATCATTTCTGTAGTTCCAAATTGCCCATAACAACGCACAAACTCCTACACGAATATGTCTAGCTGTATCGGACTCTATCCCATCCAGCCACGTTCCAAATAACGACCCGACCGAACTCGGAGGAGTAATGTTAAAGGCAATTTGCACGGTGCGCCACATAATTCTCGCCAACGGACACTCAAAGAAGAGATGCTTAATGGTCTCGTCCTGATCACAGAAACTACACCTAGTAGATCCTGTCCAATTGCGCTTAACCAAGTTGTCCTTTGTTAAAATAACTTGTTTATGGACAAACCACATAAATACTTTAATTTTCAAAGAAACTTTTACTTTCCAAACATGTTTGGAACTAGGAATGGCAGTCGAGTTAATAACATCGATGTACATCGACTTAACAGTAAATTGTCCAGACCTAGTAAGTTTCCAACACAACTGATCGGGCTGATGAGCTAGGTGGACTTCCATCAGTCTACGCACCAGATGAAGCCAAGCTTCCCATCTATCACCAACAAGCACCCTCCGAAATTGAATATTAAGGGGAATGGACTACATGATCGTTGCAACTAACGCATCACGTCGCTGGACAATACGATACAGGGTTGGATACTGTAGTGCCAATGGTGTATCACCCAACCAAGTATCCTCCCAGAACCGTGTATCATTGCCATCGCCGACAATAAACTTTGTTCTATTAAAGAAGGCTGCCTTAACTCTTATAAGCTCCTTCCAAAACGGCGAATCAGTTGGTCTCACTGTCACCTGTGACAAAGTTTTAGAATGCATATACTTGTTGCGGAGAATCTGCGCCCAAGTTGCGTCAGTCTGAACTGAAAGCTTATATAGCCACTTGCTAAGCAGGCATCTGTTCTTGACCTCAAGATTCTCGATACCCAAACCCCCTTGGTCCTTTGGTCGACAAATAACATCCCACTTGGCGAGTCTATTCTTTCTAAAAAGAATATATGGGTTGATGATCAGGCTTTGATGCATGATTACCCCAGATTGTATAACTTGTGCTTTGACCATAATATCACGGTTGCAGAAGCTATAGAGAAAGGGTGGAGTGGCTTTAGATTCAGGAGGACTTTACATGGGGAAACCTTGGAATTATGGGAGAGCCTGATTAAGAGGTGTGAAACAATAGAGATGGGTGAGGGGAGGGATAAGGTTGAATGGACCCTTACTGCCAACAAAATTTTTTCAACCAAGTCTCTGTATAGGAAACTGATTACTGAGGAATGCAACTATCCACAATTTTTTTTGTGGAAAATCAAAATACCTGCAAAAATAAAGGTCTTTCTTTGGTTGATTAATAAGAAAAGCATATTGACTAAAGACTCTCGCTAAACGAGGATGGAAAGGACCCAAATCTTGTGTGCTACGCGGGAGAGAGGAAACTATTAATCAGCTGTTCTTCACATGTGGGGCTGCCTCCTTGATGTGGAACTTAATAAAATGTGCCTTTGATTTGAAAACAACTCCTGTGAATGTAGAAGAATGTTTTGGAAATTGGATTAATACTTTTATTAAGTGTGAAAAGAAATTAGTGCTGGTGGGATTATCAGGCGTGTTGTGGTCGATTTGGAAGTGTAGAAATGCTATCATATTTGATGGGAAAAATTATACCGATCCCATTGTTCTGATACGAATGATGACACACTGGATCATGGCTTGGTCTATTTTGCAGAAAAAGGACCAAAACAAAAAGGAGCTAGAGATAGGGGCAAAGTTGCTCGAACGGGTAGCAAATGAAGTGTACAAGGCGATACAGGGATGGAGATTCAACGTGCCTAGGCTGGATTAAAAGGTGTGTGCTTCTTCGTGTCCTGGATCATCTTCCTTGTTCCGTGTTGTCGTCTTCTATCTAGCCTTATGTTTTGTAATATTTGCCAGTCAGCGTTTCTATATTTCGTGCCTGTAATGACTTAGCTTATGTTTGTCGGCTCTTTTCTGCCTCTGGGTGGGAGGAGAGTTGGTCTGGATATTGGTTTCAGGGGCCTCGACCCCGTCTTTGTGTCCTAGGTCTGTAGCTTTAGCTTTAGTTTTATTTTCTGTTGCGTCTGAACTTGGTTCTGTGGACCTTGAACTGGATTCTGTAGCTCTGCTTTTGGTTTCCCTTAATGAAAATCGGAGGGGGGAAGCCCTTCTTTGATCAAAAAAGAAATTTGACAAATTAAGGATCAACATGGACTGGTTCTGAGCCATGATGTGATTTATTAAGAAATGAAGAAATGGTTACATGAACAAGGGTCTCTGTTCTACATCCTTTTCAGGCCAATCAGCATGGGCGCGTTACACACTAGACCTAGTTACCCAGTTAAGGAAAGGAGGAATATTAGCAAAAAAAATGTACATGGTCTATGAACAATCCCCAGAGAACCAAAATTTGTCGTGCCATTGATCTCCGACCGAAAGAACAATCCAACAATCATGTTCCTTCAGCCAGCTTCGGCGGGGAGGTGCCAAGAAGTGATCACTGCACGTCTTCAGTGAAGGCCCTGTAGATGAAGTCCCTGAACCTCTTGCAGTACTGCTTGGGGTCGACGGCCGATATGGAGTTGGGATCATACAGCTGAGATTTGTAGGCGTGCTCCAGCTTCTTGCTGATGTCGTAGTCTTGCAGGATGTCGATGATGCCGAAGAAGAGGACCACCTCCCGAAATTCTCCCGTGGGATCACCGATGAGAGGCGACTCGCTCTCGGGGTTCCGCACAACGTTCTCCACCCTCGACTGCATGGCGATCCCCAGTTTCGCTTTCCTGCAAAGATCATAGCATGTTGTGAGACTTGGAAGATTCTTCAGCTGAGAGAAGTCATCTTTCAGTTGGTATAGTTGGTTTCTAAGCACTGCTTAATTGTTCAGCAACAGGGTGATGCCGTGTTCTACTGAAGAAGTGCATCACATTGATTTACCTTTTTAAAATGCCTAGTTGTCTTATATTTATACTATTTACTAAACCTAATATTGTCATGTCATCAATAATTAAAAAATATATATTTGGTAGCGAACAGGTACATTGGAATGGGGAACATACTTATTTTGCTCAGAATCTTCAGCACCACCGTTGTCAGCATTGCCGTTAACTGTAACAGCAAAGAAGGAGACGATTTTTCAGGCTATTTGAATTCGGAATACCCATTACCCAGAGTAATGTTAAACGTGCAATCATAAGAAACAAAGTATTCCATGGGGAATCATATCCTTACATCGATCTTTGAAGTGAATGCCAACCAAAAGACTATAATCCATGATCCTCTCCTGCTCTAGTAACTCACAATCTTTGTCCACTTGCCTGGTAATTAAGAAGCACAAACCATGATACAATGGATGGTTAAGTCTCACTTTGTGTTTCCTCTCACGTTTTTAAGAACTTCCCATAGGACTTGCCTTGCATTTTGTTAATATTTAAGGCATATGAGAATACTACTAGTGTTCCATCATAACCGGATGACACAACAAAGCATGTGCACGCAATTCGACATATGTAAATATTCACCTGCAAAACTCCTGGAACCAAGATCCTCCTAACCGGAAAATGAAATTGAGATCAAGATCCTTCAAAGTGGTGTGCTCATCGATTTGATCGAGGGGTTTGTCAGTCATGCGACCTTGTGACGATCCTTTCAAATCGAAACGCCGATGAATCCCATAGTGAGAGCAGAAGAGATTCCCCATTATGACAAAGCGAACCTGAATGAAGTAGCAACATAAGATGAGCAGATGCTCAGGCATATTTCATCCTTGGTGGTCATTCTTCAATGAATTCATGTGTTTTCAGTGTATTCAAACCTTTTTCTGAATAGCTCCAGTGATTTTAACGCAGTGCAGGCCAAAGAACTTGGTCACTAGGGTATGTTCGAAATTGCGAACATGCTTATAATAGGCTGGAAGCATCCTAAGAAGCACCTGATCATCATAACACAAAAACCACAAAATCAGGTCTTAAAATGACATGTTCAATGATACCTTAATTTTGAAAGCTAGCTAACTGATTGAGGCGAGGAGTGAACAAAGTTATAAGGAGCCTACTTTAACTTCTGATTTCTTCATGGTCTTGATCATGTACTTGTCATCGTTGGTGAGGTAGAAAAAACTTCCACTCTTTCCGGGTGACGATAGTTCCCGAAGCGCGTCGTCACCGCAAATGGAGATCATGTAGTCCGCTGGATCGACGTCAAAGAGCTTGCGCAATGTCCTGGAGTGAAATCGCACAGGAACAAAAATCATAATATCATCATATAAATTGCTTCTCATGCAGAGATATGGCGAGCACCCCCTTAGTCTTTCAAAGCTGATCTTTTGGGCATTTCGTGCAGTCTTCAAGATGTAACTCTGACCATTAAACTTATTGAAGTATATAATTACAAAATACTTAAACCCGTTATAGTTTATGAAAGTTATTTTCAAGACAAATCCATACGTATGATTTGGACAAGTCAAGTGATATATTATTTCATAATATCGTCATGTATAACTAAATAGGTGATTAAAGTTCTAAAAGCTGGGCCATCAGTAGGACCAAAATGGCATCATTTATAATTAAATAGGTGATTCTCACTAACATATTTCTATCAAGATGCAATCAGTCACCTCACATGCAACCATGCATTGATAGAATCTTTTAATTATATTTTTTCACTTATATTCAATAATTCGTTTTTTGGCTAAATGTTCAATATTTTTGTTACAACTACACAATAACTAAAAACAACAAATATATGTATTTTTGGTTTCCATTTTCTTATCGTTAATCCAACTATAAATATCTCAGACAACTAAATCCCATTGAAATATATTGCAACTGATTCCTGAAGATACATGTGGGGTATTTAATATTTTTAAAGACTCGTGGTAGTACAACTATTGTTGTACTACCTCCGTTCCTAAATATTTGTCTTTTAGAGATTTCAAATGAACTACCACATACGGATGTATATAGACAAACTTTAGAGTGTAGATTCACTCATTTTGCTTCGTATGTAGTCACTTGTTAAAATCTCTAGAAAGACAAATATTTAGGAACGGAGGGAGTACTAGTTAACGATGAACACTGATATAATCAATCTAAGGGTTCTCACTTGTACTCCCTCCGTCCCAAGGGAGTAACAAACTTACGGTCATTTCAGTAGGCACCCCACAATTAGCATATGGTTGAAAATTATGTCAGTGGCACATGAATTCAAAGAAAACCTAAAAATTTCTCAAACTTGGTTGGATGCAGTCAAATATTGGTCATTTGATCAAACTGAAAAGTGAAAAAGGAAATCCGAAAGTTGGAACCATTTCGGACCTGAAGACCAATGGGCAGTAGTCCTTCCACCGGAAATCGCATGACTGGTGAGGCGGCGTGTGCTTGGATCCTTCAGGAGGAAACCTGGTCCACACCTTCTCCTTGGGGTCAAACGCCGACGATTTGAGATCCAGCGAGTTCGGCGCCGAATGCCTCCCCACGGCATGCCTGATCGAACCCCAAAGAAATTCAGTTCACGTTTCCTCTCGGTGCGAGAGAGACAGAGAGAGAGAGGTTGAATTCATGGCGGCGGCGCACCTGATGCCAAGCTGGAGGTTGAGCATGAGCTCGTAGTTCTTGTGCCCCTTGGATATGGTCTCACCCTGCTTCTTGGCCGGCTTGGGCGGCGCGCGCATGCACGACGTCGCCCGCAGCCACGCCCTTTCCACGGACGCCGCCCTGGCCTGGGCCTCCTCGGTGCTGAGGCTGGACTGGGCCTGTGCCTGTGCCTGTGCCTGGGCCTGCGCCTGCGCCTGGGCCTCCTCCCCCTCGGCGGCGAGGTCCATGTCAATCGACGACACGCTGCTCCTCCTCTGCGCGCTGGACCTCCTCCCTTGAATTTGCTCCGGCTCCGGCGGCCGCCACACCGGCTTCTTCAGCACCGCCTCCACCCCGGGCCACGTCACGATCTTCTCCGACGGCAGCAGCGACGCCGCCTTGCCCTGCGTCACCTCCAGCTCCTCCAGCAGCTTCGTGATCGCCTCCCGCGGCTCCCGCGGCGGCATGGGCACGGCCGGCCCGCCGGATGGCGGGTAGAACACGCCGCCCATTGCGTTCGTATCGCCGGAGTCCTGCTGGCACCACACGCCGATGTACATGCCGCCGTCAGCCCACCGGAACGTGCCCTGGCCCTTGGGCTTGGCGTCCTCCCACGCGCCGTCGTACCGGTCTCCGTCGGCCCATATCACGGTGCCGCACCCGTGCATCTCCCCGGCGCGCCACGTGCCGATGTACTCGTGCCCGTACCGCCAAATGTACCGCCCGTGTCCATCCTGCCGCCCGTCGCGCCAGTGGCCGTCGTAGACGTCGCCGTTGGCGTAGGCCTGCGTGCCACGGCCGTGCCGGAAGTTGTTGGCCCAGTGACCCGCGAACGTGTCCCCGAACTCGCCGATGTAGGTGCCGTGGCCGTGCATGTAGCCGCCGGCGAGGTCGCCCTCGTAGGTGGCGCCGGAGGGCCAGGAGAACTTGCCGCGCCCGGACGCGCGCCCCTGGCGCCATGAGCCCTCGTACATGCTGCCGTCCGTCCATAAAAACTTGCCGGAGCCGTCCGGGAGATCGCCGCGCACGCTGCCCTGGTAGAAGTCGCCGCTGGGGAGCAGCTGCTCGGAGTGGCTCTCCGGGCCCGCCGCCTCGTCGTCTTCCTCCTCCTCCTCCTCCTCCTCCTCCTCGTCGGTGTCTTCCTCATTGTCCTCGATGTCGCCGCCGCCCGTGGCATCGTCGTTTTCGACGACGTCGTAGCCGTAGATGGTGTTGGAGGAGGCGACGGAGAGGGCGACCGCGGGGTCGCCGTCGAGGGCGGGGCTGGTGGCGGGGAAGACGGAGCTGCCGCGGCGGATGGCCATGGTGGTGTTGAGCTTGCGGATGCCCGCCTCCCACAGCCGGCTGGCCGGAGGCGGGAGCTGGTTCATCTTGGCCCCCGACATGGTGGCGTGACGTGACATTTGATCGAGTAGAGTTACTCCTATCCTATGTATTTTAGCGATTAAAAGAAGAAGGATGCGCGCGGCAACGAGAATGAGGTCAAGGTCAGGACGACGTCGGAGGAGGAAGCCATGGCGAGTGTTTTGGGCGAGGGACGCCGGAGAGGGAAATTAATGCTGGAGGCTGAGAGGAGTTGTCGGGGAGAAGGAGAGCTCGACATTTGTACGGAGCCTAGGCGTTGAAACTTCCATCTTTTTAAAGCATTGTCTTACTTAACATGCACTCACGGCAAATCTGCCATGCTAGCTCTGCCCTCTTTGGCTGAGAGACTACGTACAGATGGATGGATGTCGAGTTCATGGGATCACCTCTTGATGTACATGCAACTACTCCTAGATATGGACGATCGAGGACGACCATATATATGTACCCTTCGTTCGGAAATACTTGTCATTAAAATGGATAAAAGGGATGCATCTAGACGTATTTTAGTTCTAGATACATCTTTTTTTATCCATTTTGATGACAACTATTTTCAGATAGAGGAAGTATATATGTACCCCTAATGCAGAAGAAAGTGATCTTAACATTGTGCATGCTCTTCGCATGGCGGATTGGAAGAAACAAATAGTTATACTATAGCATCGATGACGGATTGTTAAGAAAGTGATCTTAACATTGTCCATGCTCTTCGCATGGCGGATTGGAAGAAACAAATAGTTATACTATAGCATCGATGACGAGAGGCCGGGCATTCGCTAGTGTATTACTCCCTATGTTCAGAAATACTTGATGTGGTTTTAGTTCAATGGAGGTAATGCTAGTGTATTGTTCATAGGTTGGGATCCTAATTGAGTTGTTTTTTCTATCAATGCAGCGAGATACAAATATGTTTTCTTGGAGTATTCTTGGTTTTGAAGAAGATATTTCTTCCCACGTAGTATGGCATTTCAGATCATGTTAGAGTAACACGTGTCCTGTGATTTCTTATCGCCAGATGGTGGCCGCTGGTCAGAGAAGTGGATCAAAAAAAAAAAGGAAGGCATGCAAACGGCCAAAAAAGGAAGGAAGCATGCATGCAGGAGTGGCCAAAAGGAGAACCATGCCAAACTAAAACTTGGACAACACATTGCTCCTGGTGGTTAATGATGGAGAAAAGTCTCACTTTTGGACAATTCAGTTACAAGTGGAGAGAAGGGGGCAAATTGTTTGTTTTGTGTCGGTACGGCTTAAGATCAATACATATCATAACTAAATTTGAGTAAATCACATAAATCACTTGAGGAATTCACTCTGATGAACGCCCTATTCACTTTTGTTGTCATATAGCTGTTATGATGTTCTGTTTGTGCTTTTGTTTTAGGTGTTTCGCTTTGTCAAACCTGATGCTTGGTGTAGGCGGTCTAGCTCGTCTTAAATTCACTCTGATGAACGCTCGTGCTGATCGTGGGCAATGCGTGGTGGGTTTATTGATAGTGACTGAATGATACACATGCTATGCGTATTTGAGCAAAGATAGTGACTGAACTCAATCTCCCCCCTTCCCGTCCTCTATTACCTCTGTCAAGCATTGTATTTCCGTTATGCCGAGTAGTGGAAAGGGGATTAGTCCAGTTTAAAAGAATTTCAAAGGACACATGTCAAATGTGCATGCAACAGACATCCCTTCTCTCACCGATCCAATAGTTTCGAAGAGCACGTCGATGGAGAATAACGGTAAAAAGGCAATGTCAAAGGAGTAGTTAAAGGCAATGCAGCCCACAGAAAGAAGTCCAAGAAGAAAAGGCCACTATGGATGGAGAGTGATTTCCCCCTCGTACCCCCTCGGGTCGCCCCCGTGGGCCACCAGGGGGAAACCCTCGCCGCCGACGCCCGTACTCCCCCGCATCTCCTTCATCCTCGCCGCCGCCAACAGGGCCGCTGTGCGAAGCCTGGCCGGCAGGGGCGGCGGCGGGGCTCCCTTCCCCTTCGCGCGAATAGGCTGGCGCGGGACGACCGTTCGAGAGGAGGCGCCGGACTTTTGCGGGGTGCGGCGGCGCTGTAGATGGATCCTGGTCATGACGTGCGCAGCGCGTCGGCGGTTGGGGTTCGTGCTCACGGTGTGGTGCGACCGCTAGATCTGGTGGTCGCGTGCGCCCTCGGTCTCAGGTTAGATCCTTTTGGGTCCGGCGCCTGATCGCCGTCGGCCAGCGCAGGATGGTGGCTTTCGTCGCTGACCAGGTCGGGTCTTCATTGATCCGGCGCTTGGATGGATCTACGCTGGAGGTGTTGAGCCTTATGGTGCTTCCCACTCTGGAGTTTTTGGGTCTTGGCTGCTGCTAGATCCGAAGCAGATGGAGATTGGTGGTACAGGAAGAGGGCCGGAGGAAACTTTGGTCGGCTAGCTCGGCCCAGCATCGGCGACGACTTTGACGTCGTTACCCATCTTGAAGGCGAAGTCGAGGTCCCTCATATCCACCTCCGTCCCCTTCCCGGACGAAAGTCCAAAATCCGTCTTGGATTGGACGGCGGCGGCGCCCTTTGCGTCGTAACCTCCATGGGGGCGCCGTCTTGGGAGGCTTGGGCGTTCGGGGGGGAGTTGCTATGGTGAAGGGCTTCGTGTGTCAGCTCCAGCAGTGGCAATGGTGTGAAGGTTGGCAGGAGGAGCGGCGTTCTAACCGCGTCAGATGCGTCTGGTAAGAGATGTCAAGTCATGCCTGGCCGACAGGTGCTACGCTGAGTCATGCCTAGTCTGCAGGTGCTACGCACGATAGATCTTTCAGAGTGTCCGCGTCGGGATGGACGAGCGCAGAGCGGTGGAGCTGTCTGGCGTCGACGGTAGCTAGACCGTGCAAGGTAGATGCAACAGTACAGCTCTAAAGATGGTTTGGTGGCAGGTGGCTGCGGCGGCCTCATACCCGGCAGGCGTCCTGGTTGAGGAGTGCGCCGGACTGGGAGGTGCCCCATACCCGGCAGGCGTCCTGGTTGGGACCTCTAGGACCTCAGGTCTTAGATGTTTAGGTTTGGCTGCGATGTCAGTTTGGTATTAGGCCCAGACTATCAGCGCCCCTTCATCGATTGGATAGGTGTAGCGACAATTGTTGCTTAGAAAGTGGCTTTAGTCTTGCTGTTGTATCACTTTGTAAGGTCTTGTGAGAATAATTAATAAAATGGCTGAATGCATCGCTCAGATGCAGAGGCCGGGGGTCATCCTCCTTTTCTAAAAAAAATAAAAAAAACTATGAAGGGATGGGAGAGAAAGTGGTAAAACATGTGCTATGGATTTCATCCCCTCTCCCAGCGCATCATAAACACATGGACCCAAGATTACCTCTTTCACCCTTACACCTACCATCTCAAGTGTAGCTTTGGCCATTTGTTAAGGACCCTCTGAATGAAACCAGGGGGACGACATCAAAGGGTCAAGACTCTAAGTGAGCATGTACACAAAGATTTATCCAAGACTCACTCGGGAGATTTAGATTGAGTCCGAGTAGTGTCGTACGAACCAGACAACCTTCAAGAAAGAGAAGTTTGTAGAAGCGACTTAGAGTTTAGCTAGTATGACTTGGGCCCGTGACCAAACCTCGACGATTCTCTAGCTTAGTACTAGGTCACGCCAGGTTGAGATGATTGAACCTATTCAAAAAACATCGAAGTGTCAAATTTGATTGGTGTACGACGTTGTTATAAAATTGTTGTACATACAACACTAATATATGTTGTGATTTTGCTGCTAAGGGTGCACCCACTAATCGTCATTGAGATCATATTGCTAATGGTACCTCATAATCACCTATTACTTCCATTACAATTCTTGTAATTAATAAATAACCGTTTGTGCTGAACTTAGTTGTTTAATTGTCTTATTTGGTCCACATAATTCTCAAAATAAAGGAGTAGGAAATACACGTAATTGCAGTGCCATGACCACTCGGAACGCGCTATAGCAATTTGTATGCGCCAAAGTTTGCTTGATAATTTCAGAGGAAAAATAAAGGATTCCTGCAAGACATTTAAATAGATGGGAGATTTTCAATAAAATGTAGTACAAAGTACTCTAATACGCAAAAAAGACTCAATCCTACAAATCAAACAATCTATTCCTAATTTGAACTAAAACCCCGACGAGTAAATCGAAACAGAGGAAGTAGAAGAAATTTTATGTGGATTTTAATCCTTCAAAATCGCTATAAAAATCCTTTTGGATCAAATAGGCCGCCCTACATTAATTACTCGCTCCGTAAACTAATATAAAAGTGTTTAGATTACTATTTTAGTGGTCTAAACGCTCTTATATTAGTTTACAGAGGGAGTATCAAGTAAACACGACTCTCATCATCATCGTCGTCGTCATCATCAGTAGCAGGGCCTGCATCGTTTTCGTACCCATCATAGTCGGTAGCGCTATGCTCAAACTCGGTCTTGGGCTTGGACCACTCGTCGTCGGCCGGCAGCGCGAAGCGGCATTGCGGGCAGAGGCAGCTGACCCGTAGCCAATCGGAGATGCAGCAGCTGTGGAAGCCATGGGAGCACGGCAACTTCCTGATGTCATCCCCTTCCTTGAAACTTTCCAAGCACACGACGCACTCCTCCTCCCTCGTATCCCCCACGGCCGCCCGTGCCAGTCCCGCGATCTCCTCTTCCGAGGCCGGGACAGCGCCGAAGCCACCGCCCCTCTCATCGTCGTCGGTAACATCTTCATACACAATAGCGCCGATGTCACCGCCCCTCTCGTCGTCGTGGGTAACGTCGTCTTCATAAACAGTAGTTTGTGTCATCAGAAACAAGTTGGCGAGAAGTGGCGCGTGGGACGGCGAAACGACCACAGAATCTTGGTGTGGCTGTTCGTCGGCGGCCATCGGGGAGGCCTCGTTGTCGTGGTCGGAGCCGTTCATTTCCCCTGAAGCCACCGGAGAAGGCGGATGATCGCGACGAACTGGCAGTGGACGAAGGAAGAAAAGATGTGCCTGCGTACGGTGATCAGCTGGGGGCAAATACCAGGCATGTCGCGGCATTTGTAGACGCCGCTGGCAGGCTA